CTGTCTTGTAATTTTCCCTAAACAGTAGAGAATAGTAACTGTTTACACAGGAGTTCCACCATATCGGGCATTATGAGTAACCAGAGACGAGTGCAAGTACACAGGAGGATGTGCACAGGTTATGTGCACACACACCATCTTGTACCACACTGTGATATACGCCCCTGTGCATGCTGGTATCCTCAGGGGGTCCTGGAGCCAGTCCCAGAGACATGGGGGGGATGACTGCACTGCGAGGCAAGGTACATGCAGTGTGGAATGCTGGGTACTGTGCTGTAGCGGAAGAGCTGACTTCCTGTGCGTGAGCTCTGGACCTGTGTCTCACTGGCCATCACCTTTGTTTTCATGGGCTCTACCTCAAGTACCGATGCTTGACCCAACAGCTCGCTTTTACCCGGTGTAGACTATTTTTATTAAGTAAGAAAATGCCAAAGAGCTTACTCCTCTGTTTCAGTTCATGATTTTAAAACACAAGTCAAAATACAAAAAAACTCTTAGGATGCATGAATACAGTTTATTGGCTGCTCTGAATAGCATTTTTAATAGCAAAAATGTGTTTACATACTGGGCACAGTGGCTCACATTGTTATCCTAGCATCTGGGGAAGCTAAGGCTGGAGGACTGCCCGAGCCCAGGAGTCCAAGACCAGCCTAGGCCCCATAGCGAGACCTCACCTCTACAAAAAAGCCAAAAAAACTAGCTGGGCATGGTGGCACGTGCCTGTAGTCCCAGCTACTTGGGAGGCTGAGGCAAAAGGATTGCCTGAGTCCAGGAGGCTTAGGCTACAGTGAGCCATAATCATGCCACTGCACTCCAGCCAGGGCAACAGAGTGAGACCTTGACTCAAAAAAAAAAAATTTTTTTTTACATGATAATAGCTTACAACCATCTTTCCACCATCTTTTTCAATACAAAACACACTGAGATCATAGCAGACACAAGATCTTTGTGTCTTACATTTCTCCCCCCGACACATACAACATAAAGTCCCAGATGCCGCCGTCTGGCTGAGCGCTGAAGAGCCATTCATGAGTCAACCAGTCGGGGCAACCTCTGCACAACCTCCAGCACTTTCGTCTGGACACAGGAACAGAAGGACATGATTCTCAAAACTACGCAAATGAATCTGCTCTCCCTTCTCTCTAGAAACAACTTTCCCCCGGGTTACAGCATATGTATAACTTCATGACAATGGATGCACATCAGCAGGTGTTCACTTCCACACCTTCACAATCCCATCTCTGGAAGCAGTGATGATGAAGCCCTGCGTGGTCTGGAACGTGGCGACGTCCGTGATGATGTCGTGATGTCCCACAGGCAGCGCCTCGGGGCCCCTCCGAGGCGTATCATCACTCGGGCCCACCTTCTGCTTGTTCTGAATCTCCTGTGTGATGGTTAGAGTCCAGGAGAAAGCCAGAAGTTACAAGCAGCCCCACGTGCTAGCTCTCGTCAGCAGCCTTGCTGCTGGGACACTGAGGCAACCATCCTGTGAAGCCGCTGTGCTTTTGCAAACACCAAGCAAAAGCAGAGGGCCAGAGTCACAGGCCAGGCTTCCAGTCCCAGATTCTGGCGTGCCACTTAGAGACGCCCAAAGCGTGTAAGCAGGCCAAGGTTCTGTGCACACTGACTTCTGTCAACATCAGGAAGAAATGGGCATCAAGAACCAGAATGCACAGCGGTACCCGTGGCCGCTCCAGCGCTCCAGCACTCCAGCTCCTGGCATCTGCAAGGAGGCACTCCACCCATGGAGCAACTGCTCTGGCCCCACCGCCAGGACATTCTCATCTCTGGACTGCTGCCTGAGTCAAGAACACAAGCTGCAGAGGTGGGTCCCAGTGGCCAGGGTTGGGTCCCAGCACTCCACTGACCAGCTGTGTGAACCTGCTTCACTGTGCCTTTTTCATTTGTAAAAGAACAATACTGAGAGCATCTCCTTACCAAGTTATTTAACATCCCTCCTGTTCATTTGTGCTATTAGTTATGTGCACTTAAGTTTATTACACCGTAGTCAAATTTAATTGTCAAAAACACAGAAAACCAAGAGAAACGTATTTCTTAATTTAAAGAAATCCCGCCACTCTTAGCCAAAGCCATCCACCGTCATCAGTTCTGTGTTTACGAAAGCCACTGTTGTGCTGTCAATGGTTCAAAGAAACAAAAAGAAACACTCCTGTACCTGAACGACTTCAGTGCCTTCGATTATCTTCCTATAGTAGGACACGGACGGGGAATTAGCACTTCCGGCAATGATGTAGGACCTTTCTGGGTACGCCAAGTCCCAAAACCTAGGGAGGAAGAGACAGGTGGTGGTAATCAACCTAGGACAACAGTGGGAAGAACTGACCATCACTGGCTTCCATTCCTCAATGCACTGTTTTGTTTTGCATTAGGGAAAGAGGTTTTTCTAAAACTAAGAGCATAACATTAGTTACAGATAAAGTATCAACAGCTGTCCCTGGAAGGTGACGACTCTGAACATTACAGTGCTACCAACATCGTCAGTAACACCATGCGTGAACTCACGTCTGCCACACTACCTCAGCCTTCCTGGAGGCGCTACACAGTAAGCACTGCGTGATGCTTACCTTATTTTCATGTCTGAGCCAGCGGTCAGCAGGATGGGATTTCCATCAGCAGGACTGCAGTAGATGCCGTGGACACTGTGAGGAGAAGGCTTCAAAGAGATGCACGTGAGTCAGACAGGAGCCAGCAGTGTGCTCTGTCAGCAATGGGGCCACTTCCAGAGGAAGCTGGGAGACCGGTTATGCCCGCCCCACCATGGGGCAAGAGCCCCCACATACGTTTGCCCTGTAGCATTCTGAACAGACAGGTGCAGCCTGCTCAGCTTCGGGAAGTGCCAACTGAGGACCACACGGAGCAGGACCCCAACCACAGGGGTAAGAAACCTCTCCTACCTTTTGCCCCAACAAAGTACCCTTGGCAACAGGACTATGAAAAACGGAGGCAGATGTGAGAGGGCCACATTCCATGTTTTAGAGAACCAAACTTCAACCTGGGCTCTTCCTAGTCAGCCCAGATCTGACTGGGGTTCCAGAGACATCACAAGCCTCAAGGAGTTAGTCATTCAAACCCCTGGTGAGGAGAAACACCAGCAAGCTTAAGGAACTGGACAGCACCCACACAGCGGGGGCTACGTGATGCTGGAAGCTGCTAAAAGCCCCAACTTAAACAGCACCCGAAGCCCAACAGGCACCTTGCTGGATAAAATGCCCGCAAGTGTGTAGGACGTAGAAACAGGATTGTCCCTTACAGTAAAAACGGGAGGCAAACCTGCAACTCAGAGAGCGGTGGAGCGCTGCTGGCCCACAGAGTGAATCTTCTGTCGCCCGTCTCCATGTCCCACATGGACACTTCATTGTTGCCCTGGACGGCTGGGGAGACAAAGCCAGACACGGCCATAAGGGGACCCATCCCCAGAGCTCTCACAGCCGGGCAGTGCACGCAGTTGATGCATCCATCTCCACTTCCTCCCAGGCTGCAAGCCACGCTGACTAGCACTCCGGAAAAACGCCAGGACCCCGGCACCACACGGGATGAGGGAAGCGGTCCTCAGTACCCCGGCAGCCAAGGTTTGCTGGCCTCCTGGCCCCCCACCCGGCGGAGAGAAGCAAGGTGTGGAAAGGCCCAGCACACCGAGATTCCGCCCTCAACAGACTCGTCAAGAAACAGAGCAAAGAACGTGTAAAGTGCTTGACAAGAAATGAGGAGGCCACAGCCACAGGGAGTGAGGGCCAAGGTCATTCCGTAGAGGTGTTACGGTCACGACTGAGAGGCAGGGCAGGCGGGCAGGTGGCGCACCCCAGAAAAAGACAGGAGTGGGCCAGAGCATGAGAGCAGGCGACTCTGGGTGTGCTGGAGAAACACAAGGAGCTGGCCTGGCGAGGAACACTGGTGGCGGAAGGGAGGGGAAGGGGAGGGAGGGTGGGGAGG